CTAAGTATCACTGAACACAAAAGTTGATTTAAAAACATTACCCTAGCTAACGTAAAATTAAAACAGCTCCTCCAAATCACAACCTATTTTTCTCATAACACTACCCTTACCAGACTCTGTCTAATCTACTAGCAATCTACCACTAATTATATTAGACATGCAAAGATAGCTCAAAACTCTCATTCTAATATTTTAAATACAATAAAACAGACATCACATAGCATTTGTCTGTATGAATGAGTGAAACAGGGTTTTTTTAGTCCTACCACTCCCTTTTATTTATCTAAAATTACAACAGTGAAGGCAAAATAGATTTCAGAAAAATAAGAAACTGAAAGGAAAAAGCTATTTAAATACATTTTATCGTTTTTTAATTTTAGTCTAAACTTATCTTCTGACAACTTCCTAGAATTTCTAACTGACTTTTTCCTACACTATTTTACCTGTACACTGTATAATGAAAATATAAGTCACAACATATCCACAATATTTGTTTCTACCACAAGGACACTCTCAGTTATTAGTAGGAAAAAAGGGTCAGTGTTGAATAATTTTGTAAGAGATTACCTCTCAGATCTGGAGTTAATAAAAAACGTGGGCAATGCTTCAAGAGTACTTACAGACACTGCTGCTTTGTCCTCTCTCATTTTTCTCCATCAGCTCATATATCTTCTGGTTTTAACTACTGCCCTTCCCCCATGCTATTATATTCCCCCATGTTAAATTTCAGCAATCACGAAAAAGGGGGACTTTGTGACACATTATTGTTCAGAAAACTATTAGAAAGTACTAGGATAGTAGTGCATAGCATCTTTTACCCAACCCTAACATGACCAACTAAATACACACCAAGAATTCCCTTTCTTCTTAAGCATCCTGCAAAGGCTGATGCTCTGACTTTTGCAGAAGAACATTACAAAACTATGTTTACAGAACAACTGGGTATAACTAGGGCTGTCCACACTTGGCAGCTGAAGTTCAATTTTTGGCCAGTGTAGCCCAAAGCAGTATCAAGAATGTTACAAATTCCTAAACACTATGTACCAAATAATGCAACCATGAAGGAATGACTGCTTCTTTTCTCCCATCAGGTAGAAGTACACCTCAGACATTTGGAAATGTGCAATGCATATACACAAAATGAGTCACTCAATTGTTCAGGCCCCACTTAATCCACAGCTACGCACACCATCCAGGAGAAAGATGGTACATTACACTGAAGGGGCACACAATGAAATACCATGAAAGAGAACTATCATCTTCAACATGCACCAGAAGTTCACCTGAGTTATTCCCCGCACCTGCATGACCTATATTCTTTACACCACATTTTATGCCCCTCTGAAGACCCTTTTAATTACTCCAGAGAAAAGATACTTTATATATTTCATACATTAACTTCAACAGTTGAAAAAGGCTCTATTACTCCAAGTGCCAAATCAGTTTACTTATCCAGATTAAAGCATCATAACTGTAAAAAGAACACAAAACAGCAATTCAAACTACAGTTATTAGATTCTGATATTCAAACCTACATAGCCAGTGAGCAATGAGAAGTTTCAGATTAGAAGCTATCTAGCAGGCCATTTCATTTTCAATGACTAAGGACCTCATGTAATAAAAACAGAGCAATTGAGATGTATCTTCTTAAAACAAAAAAACCAAACACTTTCTATAATATGGAAATTTTTAAAACTATGCATTAAGAAATCTGTAAATTTAAAATGTATGGAATTTCTTAAATAAATTGAAAACTTAAAACTGATTAACTACGGAATATAGTATCATTACTAGAATCTTTAGCTCTGTTCTCTTAAAAAATACTTTACATAAACTGCTTATATGCAACGGGAGTTCACAAAGTAACACTGGACACAGAGCTAAAGCTCATTCTTTTTGCTATTATTTCGTAAATTGTAGTGTGAAGGGTGAACTGCGTGCTAAGTGACATTTCCTTGTGTCCATGAATTCTAGGTAAGCAAAACAAGACATTATAGACCAAACCAAGTATAAATTATTTCACAGATATTTACAAGATGACTGCATTGACATGTTGTAACGCTTTCGAAATTAAAGCGCACCGCTCCTCTGGTAGATTTTAGTTGGGAAGCGTGCTCCCACTGCATATTTTGAGTTGCGTAAATCCCCACATTTACTCTATGTAAACCAAGTTTTCAAATAGTAATTTGTCATTTTTCCCTCCTCCGTTTTGAGTTTTATGTTTTCCTCTGCTTTTGGTGTTAATTTCTGGTGACTCAACATGTAAATAAAAATCAAGATTGAACATTCGACACTGATGAACAAAAACGCTTTAAATAAAATCAAAGTGTACAGCACAAATAAATGGTAACAGCTTCAAATTTAGCAGCCTCATTAGCAGGCAACTCTGAGACTATAAAACTGTTAATAAAACATTATAAGCAAGTATTCCTTTTACTTTATACTTGCCTTGCTCATATGCAGTCCCTAAAGCTCAAAAGCCCTTTTTAAATTCAAAGACCATTCCCAGACTACAAGAGTTAACTTCTACTATTACTCTTTTATGAATGGGTTTAAAAAATTAACTAAGAGGTTCAGTTTCCTGTTTAAGAGAGGAACCAGCCAGACAAGTTAAAATAACTTTCAAATTTGTATCAACATGACTGATGATGATAAAATAAAGCAAATTTTTCCAAACAGAAGGGTCACGTGTCACAATCGTGGCCTTTCTCGCAATCCCTTTCTCCAAGCATAACTGAATATATCACAAACGTGCTGTATAACTGATCAGTATATATCCAGTAGGTGCAAAATCTCAAGAAAGCATCAAGTCAAACAAGTATCCTGGATAAGCTGATTTCACACAGGTAAATCCCTGACCAGTCACAATAAAAGCAGTGCCAAAAGGACACTAAAACTGCTGATGCAACTTCTTGGACTCAAATCTTGATCCCTACACAATCCCGAAGCACCCCAAAGAAAACAGCCAGAAGAAAGCCAGATGAATGTTCCTAGTTGTTTATATACCATTTAGAGGGAAAGCATTCCTCAACTTTAAAATATCAGTTCATCAAGAGCAATGAACAGTCAAACATAAAGGACAAATATTTCACATGGTCTTCCACAGAACATGACTGAAGCTAGCATTAGACTGCTACCCAAACTGCATATATCAATTAGCAAGAAATTCTATTTTCCATTCTTATTAGTATCTGGAGATAATCACAGAAGCTCTGGAATACAACCGGTTTCCTCCTCCCATATTTATCAGCTTTTTTCAGAAAACTATCATCCTTTTTATTTATTCCCACTACTTCTGTGCACAAATGGACAGTTTCCTTTAAAAATCCAGAGAATAAGTTAATTTTACAAGGCAAAGAGCATATCTTTTTGATAATTGTGTGCCTTTCCTTGTATTTATTTTAATTACTACCTCCAATACACTTGTCTTGCCTTCTTTCTTATAGTCATAATATAACTTCTACAACCAACAGAAAGAAGCAGTTATGTCATCCGAAGTGTCTTCATTTCACTGTCTGGCTAGTACCTGAAAATACGGTTCCAAAATCACACTACACGCTTCCAACGCATTTCATGGATGCTCAAGTTCTTGTAAGATTCTAAGTCAGTCATGGTTAAGAGTGAAAGGGATACTGAATCCATTTACCTCTCCTGAAGTGAAAATATCAGAATTTAAGGTTCAAGCAATACATGGTCTACCTAAAACTGCTTCTTCATTGGACATGATTGAGGACAATTTATAAATTGTTTTGCCCCAAAACTACCCACGTGGGGCATTTTACTTCTGAAAGACTCGAACTTCCTTAGGTATTCCTCCAAACTATTAAATACATTCCTAACATTTTAATCAGTTACCACTTTTTTCTCCCATGCAACAATTATTTCAGTTCATATTTCTGATTGGGATTAGCTCCCACAGAAGTAGTTTAATAACTACACTTTCTTTTTAATTCAGAGGGGTTTTAAGCTTGTCTCCAATACTGCACAAACATGTGGAGCCAGACGGGTCCAGAATCTATGGGACTGACTTCTTACAGCTCCTCCTAGAAGCAAGCTTGCTCAGAAACATAATGCAGGTACATCTGACAGAATAGCTGCTCTATCTACAGGCTAGCTGTATTATATAAGAACTAGTCCAAATCCAGCAGCACCAATACTGAATCTGAGCCAAAGAGCTTTACTAGACAAAACGTGGCTTACCAAGCAGTTAACACTGATCAGCTTCAGGTGAAAAGGCAGCTACATAGTATAGCTACAGTCCCTGGACAAATGTGGAGGCTTAACTGCATGCACTAGAAAACTTCCACGTTTCTACTACTGAAATAGAATTGCTGGCATGCATTCATCAACATAACCTAAAGTTCCCTTGTCCCATATATCTTTGCATTCTCATTATTTCTCAGTCTGCTTCTACAAAGTACTGATCTAATTCCTGCAACAGATTTGAACACAAAAGTGAAATAAACAGTAAGTTAACAAGCCTTTGGAAGCTCTTTCCTTGTTATAACAAATAAGATAAATTCACAACTCGACTTGAGAAATGAAATGTAAAGCAAAGCAAACGCCCACTTCTCTGTCTACACAACAAATTCTACCTCCCATATTTTTGTGTCCTATTACAGGGAGTCACTTAACTTCTTTAACTTCAGTGGTAACTGTTCTAAAAGAAGGATAGGGGGGGAAAGAAAATATGTTTTTTACAGTCACCATGCAACAATGGGAAAGTGTTGTTTTGAAAAAATCTGCAAAATTAAGCATTAAAATAAGAAGGTAACACCACAACACTGATCTAGAACCACTGTTTCAGTTCAGTGCCTAGAACAGTCTTTTGTGTAGAACCTTCAATTTACCTTGAGTGATTTTTGGTTAATAAAGCATATATTGCTGACTAAATATCAGCTGACAATGAACAGTTAAAATCTGACAACTTGCAATTACGGATTCTCAAAGTAGTTCATATATCAACAATTTGCCCCCAATTTGCTAAGTGTACATCCTACCTTCACACCAACTGCAACATCAGTGACAATGCTGTAAAAAAGAAAAAAAAAAGAACACAAGTCAACCAATTTATCCTCGTGAAACCAACTTTTCAATGTACTGCAATACCAAAATAAAGAGGAACTGAAATAGCCAACAACTTCCCCAATCAAGAAAATATGTTCAAAGAACACAGCAGGACTCAAGGGAAGTACAAGAGAAACCTACCAAGAGAGTCCAAAGTTTCAAGTAAACATTACTCCAAAGCAGCACTGCCAGGAAATATATTTAGGAAACTCAGGTTTCTGGACTACATGAGATCATAGGGTAAAAAGAATTTAAAAGTAAGTACAGAACTTTTCTCACACACCCCTATTAACTAGACAGCTAGTTCAGCAACATAGCCTACCCTACAGATCATCTTAGAGCAGAAAGCAATGAACACGTTTTTTTAAATCAGCTTGAAAAAAAGATCACATTGGCAAATACACCTATATGAAACTGAATGAAATTTAATCAGGTGCACCAATGCAAAGCTCTGCAACAGGTATATCAAGGTACATCTTTTTCTTAAGAGGTTGTGACATCATAACTCACAGCATGGAACATAATCCCACACCAAAAAAATGAAAGCAAAACATAAATATGTGAAAGTTAACACTCGTTAATGACAAGACAGGATTTGTAACTCCCAACAGTATAATCACAACCAAGCATAAAAAGCCTTTGAAACTCTCACAGTTGAAAGGTTATATGTTTAAAGCATACCAAAGAGACTGCTTCTGTTTGAAGCAGAGTAACCAACTTAATAGGAAATTTGGAAGATGTTGTATTTACAGTGACGAAGGCTGCAACCACCAGCCTCATTTCCCAGGTCCACGAGAAAAGCGGCCTTGTGTACAGGGACTGCCCACCCCGCTCCCGGCCAGGGCCCGGGGCCCGCGCTGTCCCGCAGGGCTGACTCCTTCCAAACCTTCCCTTCTTTGGCTCTTACAGCCAGCCTCCAGCATAGACAACGGCATCCTTCTACCTGGGGAGGGGGGAAAGCTACAGGGCTTATTAGGCAGTTTCTGGAAACAAAAGAGCTCGACATCTGGCTCCTGCTGGTATTGCTCCTCCCCTCCAGCCAGCTCCAAAACAAACCCGAGCCCTGCGGAGCGCCCTCCTCACCCCCACCGCTGGGGAGCGGGCAAAGGTGGGGGAGAAGGAGACAACAAGAGGCTCTGGAGGGGACGGTTGGGGTAGATCGCCCTCCCTCTGTACAGCGCGATCCGGCGTCTCGGGCACTACGCTAAGTAGGGG